ATCAAACAACACAAATTAACTTAGAAGGTAACAGAAAACAGCAATCATGAGCAGGTCATATTAGTATTCATACAGTATGCATTCACTCTGATTACAAATAGAAAAAAAAATATTATATTAGCTGGGGGGGGGGGGGGGGGTACATTCTGTAACATATCTATTCATATCAATCCCATTTTATTTGAATCAGATATGGTTACCGTATTTTCCGGACAATAAGCCGCTACTTTTTTCCCACGTTTTGAACCGTGCGGCTTATAATGAGGTGCGGCTTTACTGAAGATTTTCCTTCACCTGCAGGGGGCGCTGTAGTAGAAAGTGAAACAGGTGGAAGTCAAAAGTGGAAATCGAAGAAAGTGCTCATTTTAATTTAACACATGCAAGCAGCCGGCACGATCCATACCCCCTCATCATGGTAACTACACGTATGAGTTCATATGATGCAGCATTTACGTTGAAGACCATCGATCTGGCAGTAAAGGAGGGAAACAGTGCTGCCGCACATAAGCTTGGCATGAATGAATCCATGGTTCGGCGCTGGAGACGGCAGCGGGAAGAACTCATTCAAGCCAGCTTCACCCGGGGATGACGACGGCAACACGGACAGCGACACTGACATCGCCACAGAAAAGGTATGTGACGAAGCTCTTCTGAGGCTGTTCAACTCCGACACTGAAGAAGAGGACTTTAATGGCTTTAGTGCGCAGGAGGAAGATGACAGCGAATGACTTCTTCTGGTAGGCAAGTGTGTTTTATTTACTAACCAGGCATGTTTTGTGTGCAGTTTTTATTTTCTAATCATCCAGGGCTTATTAATGCTGAGTCAGCGCTGTTCTTTTCTTCTAAACATGCAAATGACCGGTAATAACGGGTCAGTACTGTTTTTATTTTTTAACCATCCATAAATATGAATGCTATCAGTGCTGTTTTCTTTTCTAAACTTGCAGGCACGTTCATCCGTGTTTGAAATTTGTTTTGTTGAATTAAAACAACAACAAAAAAACTCTGTGTAGCATCTTTCTGTCTAATTATCTTATGTTATGGCCGTACATGTGCTGTGTGCCGGAGACCTGCATGTGGCTGCTGCGCCGCGGCTTATATTTGAGTGCGCCGTGTGTGTGTAGAAAACCTTTTGTTTTGTTGGTGCGGCTTCTATTGAGGTGCGCTCTATAGTCCGGAAATTACCATATATATGTTTATGGTGTACATGGGGCTAAGTTTTATGGCTGTGGCATCTCTCCTCAGCATGGCTCCTGGTGTGAAAGATGCTAGCATTAGCGCTGGAATGCTCTAAAATCTAAAGTCCTCTAAAATTTGAGACATCATCAGTAAACGCAGGACCGCACAAAAGAATGATTCTGTCCAACACCTGGTCATGACCTTTCTGGATTCATCTCTACAGTCATAGGCTGCAGGGGTCAACTGTTGTCCATCTGTGCTCAGCGGCTGCACGTTCCTAACAAGAGGGATTCATAACGAGAACACACTCACATCGGCCTCTGCACACAGCTGTTGAGTGAACTTATTCTGTTGAGTGAACTTATTAGTGCTGTTAGGTTGGTAGGTAAACAACAAAAACACGAGACCCACAATTTATGAAAAGAACATGAAGCAGAACATGATAGAAGAAAAGATCATTTTATTTGTGTGTGTTTGTTAGTTAAATTTTTCAGGGATTCTTAAGACCTCTGAGCGCTACACGATGTGTGAGAGACTTCTAGTATTCTACCTGTTAAAAGATCCGCGCCTTTGAGGAACAAGCTAGTTCAATGTTTCTACTGTCCTAAAACCACTCTGACGTAGAAACTCCATTGCACATCATGCAAATGCTATTCAAAAGTAGGGATGGGTACGTTTGACATTTGAATCGATTCGGTACTAATTCCCGGTACCTAGGAATCGATACCGGTACTTAATGGTACCAATTTTAGATACTTTTGAGTGTTTAATATTTTAATTCTTTTTTATAATTAAATATATATTTTCTCAATATATAACCATATTTGATAAATATCACAATAAATAACATACAACGGTTTGTATTTTAACATCGTCCTTGTAGTTTTATAAGCTGATAATTAAACTGAAGCAAACATCTTTACTGTGAACTAAATTTACTGTGTATCTTCATTCCTTTTGCCATCTTTTTTCATTTGATTTTTCCTACTGGGAAGTTAGAATTTCCGAGGAGAAAGCGAACGCACCATTAGCTGATAACAATGGTGGCAATGGAAGCTAACATATCAAGCTAACGTTATCTTAAACAGTTTATTTAGCTGCTGGAGCAGATTAAAACGATGATGCCGCACACTTAGATCGTTGTCGCTGGTTTCATCTTCACCCAATCACACGTCGCATTTAGTAAAGTGAAGCCAAACTTTAGAGCGCGTTCTTGTTCTTCTAGTCGGAAACTCTGAGTTCCGAGGAGAAAGCGAACGCACCATTAGCGAAACGGAAGCTAACATATCAAGCTAATGTTATCTTAAACATTTTATTTACCTACCGGAGCAGATTAAGATGAGGATGTCTCACTTAGATCGTTGTCGCTGGTTTCATCATCACCCAGTTACCCATCACATTTAGTGAAGTGGACCCAAGCTTTAGCGTGCGTTCTTTCTACCATGCTGCTCTGTTTACAACTGGCTCGCAGCGACCGACATAACGCTCTTGCGCATGCGCAGCTGTCTACGCAAGTTCTCGTTATGAAGGACGGGTACCGAAACGAGGCACCGTTTCAAATGACGTGAATCGGTGCTCAGTCGGTACTGTGGAATTCGGTCGGTACTTTAAAAAGTACCGAATTCGGTACTCATAGCTTTTCAAAACACTACAAAAACCTCACATTATGTAATTATTTACGCAGAAATCTGTGCTCATTTGAAGCAAGAGAAAGGTTCAGGAAATTCCACTTTCTCTCTGGCTGGAGCTTAATAATGATTCTGAGTGAGATTTGTGGTCAAACCAGTAAAATTACTAGAAATGTTATGATAAATGATCCACACTTGTATAGCGCCTTTCAGAGTCAGAGGACTCCAAAGCACTTTCTACTACAAGGTATCATTCAACCATTCACACACTCACACACACCCGGGGATGATGAGCTACAATGTAGCCACAGCTGCCCTGGGCCGCACTGACAGAGTTTAAGTTTAAATGTTTAAGACTGGAACCGTCTTACTGAACTGAACTGTATTGGAATGTTTACTGTGCAAAGTGCCTTGAGATGACTGTTGTCGTGATTGGCGCTAAATAAATACACTTGAATTGAATTTTCTGACATTTTGTATCTAGAAACAGCTTGTCTCATATCTCTGTTCCTCCAGTTGTCAAGGACACCAACAACGGGCGACATCATAGTTCATTGTTACTGTTTTACACAAATGCATTTTAAAACATTTCTCATGAACCACTTGAAGGATTTCAATGAACCCTTTAGAAAACTACCATTGGAGGTTCATCTAACTGATTCACTTTTAGAGTTAAGCCAATCCAATATGGCTGCCACAGCCAATGGACCTTAGAAAACAAGTAAAACAATATCACTGAGGTAAAATATGTTATCAAAATAGTTCAGAAACATCCTCGTCACTACACATTACCTGTAACGGTTGGATTTTAAACAAATGTAAGATGGACCCCAGAGCTAGCTGAGATTAAAACGACTGTGAGTCCAGTCTGCTTAACACAGGGTGTCAAACTCAAACTCACAAGGGGCCGAAATGAAACTCTGGGACGGAGTCGAGGGCCAAACTTAATATTTTTTGAAAAAGTGACAGCAAATTTGCACGTTTTCTTTATCAACATGTATGCAATTTTGAACCTTTAAATTTGGAAACAAACTTATTTCTGCATTAACAGTGAATGTGGAATAACCAAATTACTCACGCGCAAGTCAGTTTTAAATAAAAAGCATCAGTGGTATTCATTACTTGTGGTATAATCAGCATTTTAAAATCTATTCAGGATTTATGTTTTCTAGTTTATTCATTTTCTTATTTTTTATTCTCCCTTTTTTTCTCCTGTAATACGTGTCATCGCTGCTGTGACATCTAGCTTTCCCCACTGAGGAACAATAAAGGGATTTTCTATTCTATTCATCTATCTGCAGCCTTTCCACTTCCTGTTTACTGTAGGTTGCATCTTTTCTCACGGGCCAACAACAACATAAAAATATCATTTTATCTTAAATGAAAATGCAACATCTCACCTGTTAACTTTCGTGTTTTGGAGCAGAAAAAGAGCATAAAACCAACATATTTAAAGCTCAGTTTGCTCCACTGGTTTACTGTGATGCTCACCTGTTCCAGCCAGATACCTGCATCATGGGGTTGATCTGAGCTGAGGAGGAGACTCCTGTTGTTTTGTTCATCTTCATCATAATAATGACAACATTAGATGACAACAGGTGCTCACATAGGTTTGTGCTGCTGAACATGTCTGAGCAGCTTGACCACGTTGTTGTGTGTCGGGGAGGAAAAATAAAAACAACAGCAGCCACAGAGTCGTGCTGGTTTGAGCGTGTCGCTGCTCGCTGGAGTTATACCAGCTCTGTCTGGACGTTAGTTGGAAAACTTTCTCTTTCAGTCGTGAACACATTACTGAGCGGCTAGAATCTCCGTTTCTGGGCTTCAACGTCAGAAAATAGCTGAGTGAACTCGGCGCTGAGTGAGAGGAGTGTTGAGTTTGTCCGAGACAGCGGAGCTGCAGACACCGGCAGCAGGCGCTGGAAAAACACAAAGGAGGGGGCGCGTCGGCTCCGCGCTGACGCCGCAAAGCATCATGGGAGTTGAAGTCTTTGCGGTAAAATCGTTCAGCGGGCCAGTTTTAATATATTTTTGATATTTATCTTGCGGGCCACATAAAAATGCTCCGTGGGCCGCATCTGGCCCGCGGGCCTTGTGTCTGACTTATGTGGCTTACAGATCATGAGTGTTCCTGCGTTAAAGGCTGAGGGTCAGTCATAACTTTAAGGCTAACAAACTGGACAAGATTGTCTAAAATTGCATGAAATGACACGTGCTATTATTTGAAAGGTTTAAAGGTGCATTAAGTAAAAATAAAGTAAGAATGACATCCGATAGTCACATTTGGTTACTGAAGCCCAATTTCAAAACAAACACGTGTCTCATTCCCATTCCATGAGTTATGGCTGTTGCCAAGTTCGACCCAACGCCAGAAGATAGATGACGAGCAAAGACAAGTCATACACAGTAAGTTGATAAATACATTTCACTGTGGTATGGAGTTCTTGGCCATTGAAAAATATAGCTTGAGATATTTTTAGAGTTGACTATTTGCTTCTACTTCACTGTTAGCACTGTTAGCTCAACATTAGTCTCTAGCCTGCTTCACCTAATGTTAGAGTAGAACAAAAATATGTTGTTTCTTCTTAAGAGCACAAGAAATAACTTCAGGGTCGCTCCTGTTATTGGGTTCAGTTCTTTTAACAACTCTGGAGCTTTTGCCTGCTGGTGTCATATAACAAATGCTGATGGAGCCGTGTTAGCTTGGCATGGACCCTGCAACCATGCAGGCTCACTCATTGTAAACAGTAACTATGTCTCTCTTTGTTTTTTTTTTTAAAGGAGAACAACTGACAAACCCCCAGCCGGCTAAAAAGGAAATCTGTTACAAACCTTCTCAAGACTGTTTGGTGATTATTTCCCCGTAAAACATTTACATATTGCTCCTTTAACCAAACAACAATACCTACATAATTTTATTCGGAATGCTGAATAAACAAGAACCAAGATAACCAAGCACATCACTCCTGTTCTTGAATCTCTACACTGGTTACCAGTAAATCACAGAATCAATTTCAAAGTACTTCTGCTAGTTTATAAATCACTTAATGGCAAGGGACCAGAATACATGTGGGTATATACGCCCAGCAGGGCTCTGAGATTCTTAGAACACTAGTCAGCTGGTAGAACTCGGATCAGAACCAAACAGGGTGAAGCTGCTTTTAGCCACGATGCTGCACACAGATGGAATCAGCTTCCTTATGACCTCAAATGTGCCCCAAACTCTAGTAACTTTTACATCAAAATTTAAAACCTTCATGTTTAATCAGCCTTTGAAGGACTACTCATGCTGCACCTTCTGCACTGTAACTGCTCACCCTTTAACTTTAACATAGCATCTTTAACATTTTTAAGTTGTACTTTGTCATGTTGATTTTAATTTTCTTGATATTCCTAAACATTGAACTGTCTGTGTGTATGAAATGTGCTTTATAAATAAGTCTGCCTTTTCTTGCCTTCTCAATAGGGCAGCAGTAGCTCAGGAGGTAGAGCGGGTTTTCCAGCAACTGATCCCGGCTACTGCTCCTGGCATAGAATGCTGCTGTTGTGTCCTTGGGCAAGACGTTCCACCCACCTTGCCTGCTAGTGGCGGTCGGAGGGAGGGGTGGCGCCAGTGTTCGGCAGCCTCACCTTTGTCAGTCACCCCCAGGGCAGCTGTGGCTACAATGTAGCTCATCACCACCAGGAAGTGAATGTGTGTGAATGGGTGAATGACTGATTGTTGTGTTGTGAAGTACCTGGGGGGGGGGGGGGGGGGGGGGGGTTCTAGGCCAGTTTCATCATTTCTCATTAACAGATGTTCTTACCTAAAATAGTTATTAAAGGTGGTAAATTTCTCCAAATTCTTGGCCTGTATTTCTTTATTTGACAGTATTAACCAATGAATATAAAGTTAAATTAAAGAGTAAAAAGGACTTCTTATGTTTTACAGTTTTTCATACTAGCAGGTATTTTCCTGTTCATAGTCTTCATGATAAGCAGAGATCACCAGCTGCTATAATAAATACATCTGAGGTTGCCATGGTGATGTCTTTGTGGAGTAGACCTCTATACACTCTGTTGCACAAAAGTATTGCACCCTGTAGATAAAAAGTTGCAAATAATAATAAAAAAATCAACTCTGCACATTACGTTTCAGCTCTTTTGTGCATCTAACGATGGATGATCAGATGGATGATATCAATCAATTCCAGTCAGATACTAACCCTGAAACCATCACCAGGCCGAATGTTCAGCCGTGGCCTCCCCCCTCTCGTTAAACACGCAGGAGCGTGACCTTCTGCGGAACATAGTGGTCCCGGGGCCCTTTCTCCGAGTGAGACGCAGATAAATGTCAGAGTGCAGGAACCGGGGGTACGAGTCTTTTTTCATCAGGCTGTAGACTTTCATCTGAGCTGCTTCAAAACAGCTTCTCGTGGGTTGTTCCATGTTCTTCATGATAGCCTTCTTGGTGTTGCAGTCGATGTTGACCTGAGTAAGAGGAAAGTAGAATGAGTAAAACACCTGGAAGAGCAGCTAAAGGCTAGCCTGGCAAGCCAGACTAAATAAATGTATTATTTAGTCTGGCAACGCTCCATTGACGGCTCTCGATTGTGGGGCGGGTTCTACCATTGTCTTTCAAATGATCTCCGCATGCTTCTGGACAATGAATGTGACATACTCACCGCAACAGCTATTGGTAAATGAGGCGGTCCGCAGTTGAAGAAGGAGAAAACACATCATTTTTTCTAAAAAGAAAGCACTTAAATACATCTATCTGCTCCTGATTCTAATGAAGCCCAAGTTCTAATAGTCCAGAATTGATGTAAAAGCCTTTTCAAACGAGCTGCCGCCATCTTGTTTCACTCTGTTGCATCATCCCACCCACCAGGCATTTAGAGTGCCCTGATTGGCCCACAAAGTGGATAAAGCTCTGTGATTTGTTCACTAAGCAGATAGAGCACTATTATTGGCCCACCATTATGGACCAATCACAGCTATTTATGTGTTTGAACCCCCTCTAGAGAGCTGTGATTGGCCAGCAAGAATGCTGTTAGGGGCTGCAGAGGTTCCAGTGGAGCGTTCCTAGACCAAACTTTGCAAAGCAAGAATTTGGTCTAGTTCTCTAGGCTAGCTAAAGGCAAGAATGAGCCTAAAAATACACCAATGGTTTACACACTTATGAGTGGATTTAAATGCCTGGGGAAAGACTGGCTGTTTTTTTATGTAATGAGCAAAAATTCTGTGAAAGAACGGCTTTTAAAATTCTAATAGTTTGAAACAAAAAAGAAAAGACAGACAGAGGAAAACACACAACTTCCAAGATCTTTGTAATAAGTACATATTATGTAAACGCCAGCAAAAGCCCAGTTCACACAGAAAGATTTTACAATCCTCACATGTGACAATGAAAAATCAAGGATTCAACCTTGTTTGTTGTGCGGTGACACAGCAAATAAAATTAACCACACAAACCTTCCCAGGTCAGACGGGAACTCTGGCAAAATGTCTTGAGCTCAAACGCGACTTTAGAGTAAACAAGCATGGCTGGGGTGGAGGAGGATTTGGTTTCCACTTACTCCATGCAGCATGCTTCCATCACCTCACCTTCTGATGGCTACACATCGACAGGCTGCATGCTCATCCGACCTCAGTACACAACACGTACGCTGCCATATTAGGCCAAGACAATCCAAAATGTTGAATATTGCAGATTAGTGATTGGAGCATTTGCAACGTCTTTCTGAGTGGATCAGAGCACACGTAACACACCTCACACAGCAGGAATATCTCATAAGATCGACTTTAAAGCTGTTACGATAATGGGGTGGGGTGTCAAGATTGTAGGTGGGGAGAGTCGAGTCAAAATTCTGCCGATCACCCGAGGTTGTTGACGACGTGTTTTTATCCATTCTGCTTGGAGTTTACTTGTAAAATTTCTCTTGTTATAAGGAAAGGTTGTGAATGTGCATGAACACAAAAGACGTATAAGACACGTAAACATGTTTAGTTTTGAGACGGACCGTAGCAGGAGCAAAATGAGTCGATGTAGCCACCCTCCATAGGAGCCTCAGCAGGCCACCATTGGCCTGAGCAGTTTGTGTTTTGCCGATGACAGCGCTCTATCGGTTAGATAGGCTAAGAAGGACCAGGACGTTCTCAGCCGATGAAAACAAGGTAAAGGTGAGTAAATAAAAGCAAAATGGACTGTTTGTGTAGTCATTTCTGTCTGTAAGAGTTCTTTAACTACAGGATTTGGGTTATCATCAAATAATGCTATATCACAACCCTGAAACATGCCCTTGTTTCATTCTGTTGCACACAAAGCTCCAAATATGTCCCGTAAAGTTTCACCTAAAGCTGAATAATGTGACTCAGTGCTGAACTGTTTACAGTTGCTTTAGCAACGTTGTTCACTAAAAAAGTCTGGACCCAACCGACTCAGACCCAGAGTTTGTCTTCTGTATGAAACTGAAGCTGCCTTATCTTCCATTGTGCGTGTTATAGGTCATGCTCATCTCTGTTGCAAATCATTAGAGCGTTGCTTTTATCAGCTTCGCCGCCTTACTCGCCTCCGACGAATCCTGAAACGGAGGCATTTGGAGTCAGTCATCCATGCCTTCATTACCTCTGGCCTTGACTACGCAAACGCCCTCCTCGTTGGTGTTCCGGTATCCGCCCTGAATCGGCTGCAGGTCGTCCAGAACGCTGCTGCCAGGTTCTTGACGAGTACACACCGACGTAGCCACATTACCCCTGTCCTGGGACATCTTCACTGGCTCCCTGTCATTTTCAGAGTGGAGTTTAAGTTACTGACCTTTGTATTTAAAGCTCTCAACGACCTGGCACCTCCCTATCTCTCTGACCTGCTCACTCCATATGTGCCCACGTGCACGTTGAGGTCGGCTGACCTTTTGCTGCCGTGCAAGCCGCGGATGCGATTCAAATCGCGGGGTGAACGAGCATTTGTCCATGCTGCCCCAAAGCTATGGAACTCATTGCCCATTGGAGTTCGGCAGGCTCCATCTCTGGCGGTTTTTAAATCTCGTTTAAAGACCCACTTTTACGCTTTGGCTTTTAGACGGTGACTCGTTTTAGTGTTTTATTGTATCATTGTTTTAATGTGTTCTTAGTATTCATCATGTTTTATCTGCTTTTGATTGGGATTGTTATCCTCTGTTTTAGTTCATTCGAATGGTTGTGTTTTGTTTTAGCCTGTGCAGCACTTTGGGCAGCTCCCATGCTGCGTTTTACATATGCTATATAAATAAACTATGCTATGCTATGCTATGCTATGCACAACAATAACTAACACACAGCATCGTGACAGTAGCACAGCCCAAAAAAACCCCCTTTCAAATTTAAACAAGTATTGAAACTGGAATGAAAGTGCGTGGGTGTGACTTCTCTCCAGATCTGCAGAAGCCATTCAAAACCCCAAACCAACAACCAAGAGTCTTCTGCAGCCCAAACAGTTCCTGTCCCTGAGACACTGATCAGACGATGGTCGCATCGACCTTCGCTAAGCAGCTGGAAATGTGTGAAACCACAGCCACCTTGCTCTGAAATAACCTAGTTTGCAGCAAGCGTGCACATGACACATGACCTCAGCAAGCTGTAGCACCTAATGATTGTTCACAAAGGTCGCTTCACCACAGGCGCATGGCTCAGAAGAGCGTTACTTCTCTCCCACAGTTATTTTTATAACAGTGACATAAATGTATCAGCCCTAACAGCCTTTGGTGACAGATAAGCCAAGAAAACACTAAATGTCATTTGAGCATTTGCAGCTCCACGATTCAGCGTAAAATCTACGCAGTTTATGAGACATAAACATGCCACACCATACCTCTTTGGGTGCTTCGGATTCAATAAAAACCGTGTAAATATATTTGGCTTTGGACCGCAGCTTTGTTTCAGAATCAATGGTCTTGTATTCCTCACAGGCCAACCAGAACTCAATGTTTTCCTCACTGAACTCCGTCCTGAGGAACTGAGTGAAGGTTTCCACCCCATCTGACAGAGAAAAAACACAAAAACACACTCTGTCAGTAATTACCATGATGCAAACAGGCACCGATAAAGGCCTGGCATCACTGTCTCACGCTAAAGTTTAAACTAAGCTCATGATGAAGAGAAATCATGGAACAGTGTGTGTGTGTGCGCGCGCGCGTGTGTGTGTGTGTGTGTGTGTGTGTGTGTGTGTGTGTGTGTGTGTGTGTGTGTGTGTGCTCTGTCTCCTCCATCCCCAGTGAGTCGTGGAGGATGGCTGCTTATACTGAGCCAGGATTCTCTGGAGGTTTCTTCCTGTTAAAAGGGAGTTATCCTCTCCACTGTCGCTTTATGCTTGCTTAGTATGAGGATTGCTGTAAAGTCATTGACACTCGTCAGTGACTTGATGCAATTTGCTGGGTTCCTTATATAGGAAACATTATTTCTGATTGGCTTAATGAACTGACCTGAATTGGAATGTTTATTATGTGAAGTGCCTTGAGACGACTCTTGTCGTGATTTGGCGCTATATAAATAAAATTGAATTGAATTGAACACGAGCTGTTGGGTCAAATCCCAAACCTGTGTGCTCCAACACAACATAAAACCTTAAATCAGCTTCTAGGATACCTTCGTTAATCAGTGGTTTGTGCAATAGCTAGCTTCAGACTTTCAATAACATCCATCTGAGACCTTTTACTGACAAAGGCAGGCGGATACATCACCAGACACCCTCGGAGCAGTGAGAGAAGTGAGAAGTAACCCTAACTGGGACTTCCTCTCTAGTTTACTGGAAATTTTACTCTTTGATGTCAACACGCACAACAACCATTTTAATTAATTAGGCTATGAGGTTTTTTTATGATTCGAAGAGTTTCCAAACAATTGAGTAAATAAAGTGTTTCTCATTGTTCCAATGTAAGCCTAAAGTGTTGCTTTGACTAAGAGGAAGTTGCACAGTTTCTGTTTTAGTGACAGACATTAAAAAGATGTACTGAAACTCTTGCTTCTGTCTCTGTTATCTGTTTATTGCTTCTAGCACTTAGAAACAGATTATAGCCTAAATGTTGCTAAATGTTCAGCAGCCAGATCAGATTTGAATGACACGACATCTGACCTGTGTGCTGCAGCAGGTCTTCAAAAGAATCGCTCCATTGCAAAGCTTCTTCTGCTGGGATGCTGCAAGTTAGGAAAAACACACAAACCAGACATGTTTGGATTTTAGGGAAAGGGTCGAGGACAATGCCAGAACTCTTGGTTGTTAGAAGTAATAGTTGCTGTAAATTTAAATAATGATAGCGCCTCACTTCTTGGGTGTCGGATTTGTCTTTTTATGGGGACTGACGTTTTCATGGGAGCCCGACTTGGTGAGAAAAAGGCTTAGTCGGCCTTTCCTCTCCTTGTCTTTCTGTCTGCAGACAAGATAGAAAATACATCAAGTTCCTGCAGCCGTGGGACCATTTACCAAATCAGCAACTTGTCACAGACTTTTCTTCGTCTCGGCGACGTTTCGTGGGGGTTGACACGACACAAAATAAATTACACAACGTTTTTTGTGCAGGAATATAAATGAAGAGGCTGACATATTTTTTAAAAATGGGCGAAAATCACACCAGGAAGTTGGTAAAAATTTCAAAGTGACAGAGTTGGTTAAAATAAAAACAGCAGATGTCCTCCAGATTCAGGTAGATCTCCAACTAAAGCTCAGATTAAAAATCAACGTTGAAATAAAAAGGTGAAGTTGATCCACCAACCTGCTGCTATCGTCCTTCATCGCTGCCGTCTGCAAGCCTTCTACAGCAAACATTTTGAAATACGCTTCCTCCTTTGGGGCCATGTAGTTAAATTGAGGAAATAGAAAAAGAAGCGTCTCCATGCTGTTCTGTCAGTGTCTGGCGTGCAAAGCAGCAGGCCACAAATAGCACTTCGAAAAGCAGTTTAACCCATTGAACCACCCCATCGTTTATAAACCCTGCTCTGGTTGCATTTCCCATACCTGCTCCACTTCCTGTGATGGTGTAACAGCTCCATCGGTGACACAGAAAAACCCTTTGATTTCAACATCCTGTCAACAGCTTATTTGACAAAGAAATGTTTGCATCTTTAAAATAATGTTCTTGGTTTGCCAAGTCAGTTGTTGTTTTATGGTGACTTATTGCAAGTGGTTTATGTCAATCAAGGACAGCAAAAGCAATTTAACATTTTCTATGGAGGCTTATTTCCTTTAAATAGGCTAAATCACTTGTGTCAGACTCAGCATCTAAAACTAAGTTTGTTTCCAAATGAAACATTTCAGCAACACATATCTGTAGATAAAGGAAAATGAGAACATTTGCAGTCACTTTTTAAAAAAAATTGAGTTTGTCCCAGTTTTTCATTTCAGCCCTGTGTGAATTTGAGTTTGACACCCCTGGGCTAAATGATGGTACAAAGGGAATCTACTATTCTAATTATGTACTTCTTTTTACATGAATGATATAAAAATCTATTAATTAAATATTCCCTTTAAATCTGAGATCATGAGAAGTGGAAGAGCAGGAACATCTCTTGAGATGGGGCGACGGTGGCACAGGAGTTAAGTGCTCGCCCCGTAATCGGAAGGTTGCAGGTTGGAGCCCCCGCTCAGTCTGTCGCTGTTGTTGTGTCCTTGGGCAAGACACTTAACCCACGTTGTAACCCAGTGTAAAGCTCTGATGTTCTGATGGGAATCATTTCTTGATTGATTTAGTTACTTCCGCGATGTGCAGTAACGATTAAAATGCCAGCTCTGTGTGCTCATCAGTGTGCGTCGGGGTAATTCTTTCAAAACAACCATCGTACTATGACAAGATGGCGCCCATGACCGGCTGCGTGTCTGCTCAGCTCCCAACCTTTTTTGTTTTTCTATTGTATTCTTGTATTTTTTCCATATGCAGTGCCGATTCTCTGCTGGTGTATGATCGGGACTTCCTGCTCTCGATCCGCTCTAGAATGGATGATTTTCAGAACTCTAATGCGGGACACCTTTTTCCACCGCCGCTGGAGACTGACGCGAACCCAGCTGCAGAGCCTGTGTTGCTCCACGCTTTCCCACCGCCGCTGGAGACTGACATTAGCCCAGCTTCCGGGCTTGTGCTGCCCGTCGGTTTGCCGCTGCCCCGGAGACCGTGGAAAAAGAAGCGGGGGAAACGAGGCGGCTTCTTTGTTCAGCTCCGAAGGATCCGGCGTGGCGAAGCCATATCGGAGCGCTGCTCCGTGACTGTGATGTCCCGGATCCATCGGCATCTCAATCGAGTCGAGCTGATCTCGCTGCTACCGGGAGGACATGGAGCTGAATGTTACATGGATGTGTCTGAGGTGTGGATGACCGGCCAGTTGGGAGCTCACGGAGCTGAGAGCTGCGCGAGTGCGTGGGATGTGGGGATGATTCTCCAGCTGGGAGCTCACGGAGCCAAGCGCTGTATGCGTGCTTCGGAACCGAGGATGATCCGGCGGCCGACCGCTGCTGACCAGCTTGCGGCACACAATCGGGGGAGATGTGGAGATCGCCTAATCACATCAGATTACTGCGTATGGGGAAAGGAGCGGTGCTTTCGGAGTTCCCCTGATGCTCGAGGTGGGTGCTTGGTGCCTGTTGTTTCTTTGGGTTCCACCGGGTTGCCCTCCCGCTCTCGTTTTCGCCGCTCTCGTTTTGGACGGCACAATCAGCGGGGAATAAATCTGGCCAACCTACAGTATATTGCAAGATTTGATGGAGCCGGACTTTCTCTTCCATCGGGAAAGCAGTCGACTCGCTTTGCACTGATCAATGCCAGATCGGTTGGAAATAAAACTTTTATTCTGAAGGAATTCTTCCTGAACAATAGCTTGTCTGTTCTATGCGCCACTGAATCATGGTTAACCCCTGGAGATTCAGCTGCTATTGTTGAAATGTTACCTCCTGGATGCTCCTTCATTAACATTCCAAGAGCACAGCGCCGGGGCGGAGGTCTATTGACTATATTCAAATCAGATCTTGTCTGCACACCGATTACCCATCAATCAACTCCATTGTCTTTTGAATTAAGTTTGTTTGAATTGGGACGTTCCCCTCCATTGTTATGTGCACTCATTTACCGTCCACCACCCTATAACAAGGATTTTCTTAATGAATTTGCAAACTTCCTGGCAGACGTCTCCTGCAGATATGGAAAAATACTCTTGCTAGGTGATTTTAATATTCATGTCTGCTGTCCTGACAAACCTTTGGTAAAGGATTTCTTAGATCTTATTGACTCATTTAGCATGTCCCAACGTGTTAATGGACCCACTCATGGTCATACACACACACTAGACCTGATTTTTTGTCATGGGCTGCAAATTAGTGATCTTGGCATTCTACCTGCAACTTTTTCTGATCACTCACCAGTTGTGTTTAATATGAACTTAGACTCTGCCTCTCGTGTTGAGTGTTTCCGTCCCAGCTTCTCTCGAACAATCGGACCCAATACTGCTGCACATTTTGCTGCTATTCTTGCTTTGAATTCAGCTCCATTTCAATCTACTGATGAATTTACTGTTGTTGAGGGATTACTTCATGCGCTTGATTCATCCTGTCTGGCTGCTTTGGATATTGTCGCTCCATTAAAATCAAGGCGAAATACATCCCGACCTGACCCATGGCTGAACGAGCAAACTCGTTCCATGAGACAACATGCCAGAAGACTGGAACGTAAATGGATAAAAGACAGGCTTACTGTATCCTTTGAATCCATGAGAGAGGCGTGGTCTCAGTACCAAAGAGCAGTCAGAGGCGCAAGAAATCGATTTTTTGCAAGCATCGTAACGGCTAATTCTAATAATCAAGGTGTGTTATATAAAACTATGAATGCAGTGCTTTCACCAGTTACCAAACTATTTTCCTCTGCGTCTGCTGACTTGTGTAACCAAATCCTGCAGTTTTTCTTAAATAAGATTAGTGTAATCAGAGCTCAGATTCACCAAACCAACCATGTTCCTGATTCAGTCATTCCCCCTCATGTGCAACTTCAAAGCTTTCAGCCCATCTCTCTGCCCTATCTAGAAAAAACTGTTGCTGCCATGAAACCGTCTGGCTCCCCAGAAGATGTTATCCCACCTCGTCTCCTGAAAGAGGTTTTTCCTTTCATTAGCCATAATGTGCTAGACATCTTAAATAGTAGCTTGACATTGGCTGAAGTTCCTTCTGCCTTTAAACACGCCGTTCTTCAGCCAATCTTGAAAAAACCTGGTCTCGACCCCACTGATTACTCTAATCTCCGACCAATTTCCAAATTACCGTTTTTATCTAAGGTCCTTGAGAAAATAGTGTATGAACAGATGCTGACACATCTAAATGACAATCAGGTAATGGACATTTTTCAGTCTGGTTTCAGAAAACAGCACAGCACTGAAACTGCTCATGTTCGGGTGTTTAATGACATTTTTCTCGCTTTAGATTCAGGTTTCCATGTGGTTCTGCTACTTTTGGATCTATCAGCAGCATTTGACACGATCGATCATAACATCTTGATCACCAGACTTCAGACTTGGGCTGGCATTTCTGGTTCAGCCCTAGATTGGTTCAGGTCATACTTTTATAACAGGTCCGCTAGAGTCATGTTGGATGGCTGTTCATCCGAGTCACAACCACTCCGTTGGGGTGTCCCACAAGGTTCAATACTCGGCCCGTTACTATTTAACCTCTATATACTGCCCTTAGGAGCCATTTTCAGAAGGCACGCTGTCTCATACCATCTTTACGCTGATGACTGTCAGATCTACTTTTCATTCAAGCCAACTCAATCAATGCAAGTTCTGTCTGATTGTATCGATAATGTTAAGCTTTGGCTTGCTGATAACTTCCTCCATCTGAATGACTCCAAAACAGAAGTAATCGTTTTTAATCCTCACAGCATCCCGGCTACTCATCAACCTGACCTCAACTATCTCTCACCTAATGTCTCCACTGTAATTTCCAACCTTGGAGTTAAAATAGACCAGGCTCTGAAGATGGATGCTCAGGTCAATAACACAGTTAAATCATGTTTTTACCACCTCAGGCGTATCTCTAAACTTAAGCACATCCTGAGTGTCCGTCTTCTCAAATCAGTAGTCCACACTTTCATCACTTCACGGCTGGATTACTCCAACTCCTGCTTATACGGCATCAGTAAAGCAGCTCAATCTAGACTTCAGCTAGTCCAGAATTCAGCAGCTAGGTTCCTGACTGGAGTTGACAGAAGACAGCACATTTCACCAATTCTAAAATCTCTCCACTGGTTGCCCGTTCATCTCAGGATCAATTTCAAAATCATGGTGCTCACTTATAAATCCCTGAACAGTCAAGCTCCTCCATATCTGTGTCAACTCGTCCATTACTACAATCCGCCTCGTGCTCTCAGGTCTGAGGATAAGCTCCTCCTAGCTCTTCCTAACGCACGTCTGAAAAGCCGTGGAGAAAGGGCTTTCTCTGTCTGTGCTCCCAAGCTGTGGAATGCATTACCACTACTAGTGAGGCAAGCACCAACAATTAGCATTTTTAAATCTCGCATGAAAACTCACTACTTCAACCTTGCATATAATACATAATCATGGACCACTTTCGACATCTGCATTCTTTCTACAATAGAATGCACAATAATTAACATCTGTATTACTGTGGTTCTTTCATATGTTTTTATCTGTTGTTTCACATTCCTTTGTGTTTTTAGTGTTTTACGACTGTTAGTTCGAGTATTTTCTTGTTTTCATTTTTTCTTATAAACTATGCTTTAAATGTCATTCTGAACGTGTTAATTAACTGTAATCTTTTAATGTACAGCGCCTTGTCTGGTTGTAATGCCATGTTGAATGCGCTTTATAAATAAAATGGTATGGTATGGTATGGTATCCTTGAGTTTATCCGTCAAAATAAACAGTCAAATGTAAATATCTGAAACCTGCCATTTAATGGTTTTGCCTTCTTGTAAAGATTGTTGCAAAGAGAAACAACTAAACTTG